TCAGAGGGAGAAGCAGACTCCCTGCTGAGCAGGGAGCCCGATGTGGGACTCGATCCCGGGACTCCAGGATCATGACCTGAGCCGAAGGCAGTCGCTTAACCAACTGAGCCACCCAGGCGCCCTTCATTCTTATTTTTTTTTGCTTCTCTGATTGGGTCTGTTCCTCTGCCCTGTATTCAAGTTCACTGATCCTTTCATGTATTTTGGTCTGCTATGGGAACCCCCTACTGTATTTTTCAGTGCAGTTTTTGTACTCAATTGTCACTTCTGTTTCAAATGCTTTTTTACCCCCTATTAATTTTTTGAAGTTCTCACTGTGTTTATCCATTCTTCTCCCAAGTCCAGTGAGCATCGTTATGACCATGACTTTGATCTCCTTTCAGGTAAATTATTATCTCCATTTCACCAAGGTTTTTTCTAAGGTTTTATCTTCTTCTTTAGTTTGGAATATAATTCCTCTGTTCTGCCCTAGCTCTTAATTGTCTCCCAAGTCGTTGTGATATTCAAGGACCCTATTTTATTTTTATTTTACTTATTTGTTTTTAAAAGACTTTATTTGAGAGAGTGAGCGAGAGAGAGAGAGAGAGAGAGAGAGAGAGGTCAGGGAGAAGCAGTCTCCCCGCTGAGCAGGGAGCCCGATGTGGGGCTTAATCCTGGGACCCTGGGATTATGACCTGAGCTGAAGGCAGATGCTTAGACTGAGCCACCCAGGTGCCCCATTTTTTTTTTTCTTTTTAAGATTTACTTATTTTAGAGAGGGAGAGCGTGAGAGTATACCCGGGGGGAACGGCAGAGGGAGAGGGACAAGCAGACAAGGAAACTGACACGGGGCCTGATCCCATAACTGAGATCATGACCTGAGCCAAAATGAAGAGTTGGATGCTCAACTGACTGAGCCACACAGGCACCCCTATTTTTAACAGATTCCAGTAGTTGAGTAAGTGCCAAGACCAGATATTAATTAAAAATTTCCTTACTCTGGAATCACTTTGTTTTACTGGGTTTCAGGAAGAGTAGTTACGAAAACATTCTTAGCCATTTTCCCTACAAAGCGACACTGATCTGATTTATTTATAGTGCATGGAGTGTGAATACTGACACATGTTAATTCTGATGTTCTTACAACACCAGACAGTAAAGCTGGAGAGCAGAACTGAATATTCTAACCACCTCTGAGAGTAACAGCTGTGCCAACATGGACAATCATTCAAACTCTCCTGATGTTATTTCCCTTTAAAATAAGGGGGTTGAGCTTAATAGTCTATATGGTCACTTATGGTTCTCACACTGTATTACTATGATTTTATTATAACAGTATTAAGGAAGATAGTTTTATTATTTAGGTTACTTTTTAATTATCTGGTGGTTAAACATCTCCCTCTAGTGGAAATTCCATTTTTAAAAAATGTTTAAGAACACAGAAGCTTGTTGTATCTTCACCTTCTTTTTCTATTAGTGAGCGACTGTAAAAATCTGCTCAACATGTAAAATGGCAAAACCATTTTAGAAGGCAATCTGGTACTATCAGAATTTACATGTACATCTCCTATGACCTAGCAATTCTACTACTCCTAAGGCATATTTACACAAGTAAAGCCTAGAATATGTGAGAATTTACCATTAAATAACTTTTTTAAAAATTCTCATCAGCTCATTACATTTGAATTCTAAGGAACAAAGAAATATAGACAGTCCCTTGTTTACTGCTTCTCCAAGAAAGCCCATGAGTCCCATGTATGACATTCCTAAAAATCTTCCTTATTCGAGAGTTGATTGTTTGCAACATCTTACTGAGCAGTCTGGTGCTCAAGAAAAATCATAAATTTGGAAAGTCACAGAGAAAAACCAAGTGTTCTTAACTCTCCCAGGGACAGTCTGCAGCAAATTAAGTAAAACTGAGCAGTTCAAAGATTCCTACTACTTTGAAATGTGAAAAATAACAACTTACATGTCTTTAGAGATTCAACAGTTACTGTGTTCTTTGTCTATCAAAGAATATCAACTGTTCCTCTCCTTAGATTTTTTTCCCCTGCATCCCCCAAAGCATATGAGACAGGAACTACTGGTAGTTCTCAATACATGTACTTCTTTCTTGCACCAATTTTTCACTGGTCTCATGGCCATGCATAATGAAGACTGAATTGCCAGCCTCTCTTGCAGGACGTTATTGGCCAATAGAATGTAGGTGAAATGATGGATGTTACAATTTGTAGAAAGTATCCTTCAAGAGAAAAGCTAAGCCCTTGATTGCCCATTCCCCCTTCCCGATGCCTGAAGTGCTCAACTGATCATCACACCAGGATTTGGAAGTCACATGGGTAACGGCAGAGCCTTATATTCATAAGGTCACCATACTAGCTCTTGAAAACTTACCTTGCAATTTTAAGCAAAAACAAACAAAAACAAAATTTTGTTTAAGCAATAGAGAAACTTCTAGTACTTCTAATACTTCGATCTACCTTTAAGTTTTCTGTCATATGCAGCTCAACTAATTCTCACTTATTCAGCATGTGGGATAATAGCATACCTTTAAGCCATTCCTAAATGGTCACAAAATTTTCAATCCTGCTTTGGTGGTATGGGATCATAATATTAAGCTCAATATACTACTGATAACAACATTCGCTCTGGGCTGGTGTCCCCACTGCGCAGTAGAGGGCAGGGAACACGGCCACTGAGGCAAGGCCCACGTGGCTTCGGTCCTGTCTGTACTGCCTCACACAGCCACACGGGACCAGCATGCCAAACCACTAGGGAGCCGCCCAGTGCCAGTTCATGCAGACAACGCCTCGGGTGAGGCAGCCATTCTTCAGAAGCATATCATGGTATAAAACATATCCCCAAACTGTGCTGTCATCCTTGATCTGATTCATAATGGAATCAAACTACCACTGGTGTTTGCCTCCAGAGGCTTAAGTTGACCAAAATATGCAACTTAAACAAAATGAAGTTAAAAAACTACAGTCTATTTTATCTCTTAGGCCACAGTCCCCCTAATGAACAGGCCAATCAATCTCTGGGGACAACCCATTCTGGAATGTACAGCTCCACTGAGCAGTTGGTTCAGCTCAACTTCAAAGGACTAACCTCTTTTCAGTTGCACTTATGGATAAGCCTCCCAAGGATGAGCCTAGCTTTGCCAACAGTCTAGCTACTCTCCAGATAACCCTTGAAATGACCGTGTAAAAGATAAGCACCAATAGCAGAAATAGCATATAGAATCCCAAGGCTACTAGGATGTTCCTGAGCAGTTTCCTGGGCAATGTATACACTGCTACTACAAATGTTCTCAGACACGGAGATGGACCTTGGGCCTGACTCCGCCAACCTGACATGCACTATAGGCCTGGCCTATTAACGGAGGCCAGGACGCAGGTATGTATGTGGTATATCACCACTCTGAATGTAAGATCACATTAGCCCCAAAGAGAAAAAATTCAGTTGAAATGATTACGCCACCTTTTGTAATGGGACAACATCCAGGAGTTCCTGAGCCACCCAAAAGAGAAGCATGGGTCCTGACACAGACTATCCCAAATGAGACCAATCCATTTGTATCCACATTCTTCTTTAGTCTTCGGCAGATGATCTTTGAGGTCATGCAGAACAATAATTTCACCTTGTGACCCTGCACAGTCCCAAGGCCTGGCGACAACCTGGAAATGTTTACCTCCCCTAAGGCCACTCATCACCCACGCCCTGTGTCAGATCCTGCTCAATCAGCCTTGGCAATGATACACTCCGAATGCTCTTAGTCATCTCAACAGTGTCGAAGGGGGAATACTCTGAGGTGGGAGCAACCTGGGAGCTCTGTCATCAGATGAGGGGCCTAGACATCCCATAGCCCTTCTCAGTCTGCCAGGGCCAGTGACAGCAACCATGGATATGGACTGCAAAGAGTTCTCGAGAAGCAAAACCTCTAGCTCAGATACCTGGAAGCAGGCACTCTTGACTAGTTGGGGTGGCCATCTGACACCTTAAGGAGGCAGGGTCCTGATTATCTAACATCAATCCTTGTTCTATACAAATGGGAAAACTCAGGGCTGTTTTTGTGGTTGAGGACAAGGATCAGGAATTCGGGTACGTGACTATGAATGTAAGCAAACATCATGTCCATAGGACTTGGGTTATGACAACTGGTCTACATCTGCTTTGGTTATCCGATAAGTTGGGGCCAAGATAGCCGGCCCGCCCTTCCCTGTGAGTCTCCTTTACACATACTCCTCATAGGCCCAGTTCACAAAACCAACTGGTTGAACTGTTCTCTGCTATCCAAGTTCGTGTCGAGGCCAAGTCAATTCCTGAAATTACGCCTGGATCCACTCTTCTCGGAGCCATACCTGGAAGGTTTCTGACCTTGTTCTGCCAACCCTGGCCATGTGCTGCACATTACCATTCTGTCTGCTTCCTGATTTCATGCACAGTCTTAGCCAGAAGCACCTTCCTCCTGCGCTGTGTCTTAGCAGTCCAGTGTAACCTGCTGGAGTAACCACAGCCCACCTTGCAGTCTACGCCGCCAGCCCTGAACAGTCTTCAGGTGGCTGTGGTTCCAAATGACCACAAGCTCGCGAAAGGCCCTGAACAAGAACAGCAAAGTCAGCTGCTCCCAAATCCCTGACCCACAGAAAATGGGTGAGATAAACATTTTGCTGTTGTTTTAAGCCATTACATTTTAGGAAAATTTGTTAAGCATAAATAATACATGGCTGGCATATCAGCAGACCACTGAGGGCACCCAGGACTCTTCCCATGACCTCGGGGCTTGCTCTGAGAGACGAGGATGAACTTGCTATCTGCCTTCCAGTAAAGCACCTAGATCCTCAGCAATAACCCTCCCACCTGCAGTTGCCAGGATGGTCATACTGTAAAAATGGTATCACTTTGTACAAGCGTACTGCAAGAGGACCCTGGCTTCCTCAGCTCAGCCACTGCTGAAGGCTGGGGGGTGGAAACTGCTTAATCACAGTAGAACCTCCGTTACCACACCACACTCCATTTACCTGGATTTCCAGAATCTGAAATTCAAGTTGAAATGTAATCATGTGGCAATTTCCTGATAATCTGTGTCTCTGGAGAACTTTCATTATACCTGTAAATCAGAAAAAATATTTTACTGCAAATAAGTTTCCTTCAGATACCTATTATTTAACTTTGCGTGTACATTTATAATACATGTGGGTATATGTGGGAGAGTTTATGTTAGTATTTACATTACAAATATCTAGAAGAATGTGCAACAAATTGATTTACCTCTGCAAAGTTGGATTAAAGGTAACTTACACTTTCTATTTCTTAATTATACTAAAGATTATAGTAAGACATGCTAGTATAGGGTGCCTGGGTGGCTCAGTTGGTTGAGCGTCCAACTCTTGATTTCAGATCGGGTCATGATCTCAGGGTCATGAGATCGAGCCCTGCACTGGGCTCTGCCCTGAGCACAGAGCCTGCTGAAGATTCTCTCTCCCTCCCCCTTTGCCCCTCTCCCCATTTGAGTTCTCTCTCCAAAAAAGAAAGAAAGAAAGGAGGAGGAAAGGAAAGGGGAAAGGAAAGAGGAAAGGAAAGGAAGGAGCTGCTATAACCCTACGCAAGTTTGAATCATAAATGTTCGACGGAGTTTTCTTCCAACATTATCTGACTCTAGTTAAAAACATTAAATTGAATCCACCTATTTACTTCTGTTCTCTTTCAAAATTTTATACTTCAATGCATAAAATGCCATATTCTTAAGTATACAATATTTTTTAACATGTTTCCCATGTAACTACAACTGAGATAAAAATACAGAAATTTTAAAATACACTATAAAGTTCTCTCATGCCCTTCTCGAAGCTATATACTACCTGCCCAAGAGATAACCACTATTGACTTTGCTATCAAAGGTATTTTTTAAAAGAGCACAACTTTACGAGGATAAAAGAAGAAAAAGGAGAGTAACTTCATTTGGAAGGTGGAAATAAGATGGATGAGCTAGATATTACACAGAAAAAGAACTAATCTGGCAGACCCAGGAAAATTAAAACCTAAGCCAGCAAGGGGGGAAGCTCAGTATTAAGCCCATTCAAAAGCATTCTGAGGGGCAGCTGGGTGACTCAGTCAGTGAAGCGTCTGCCTACGGCTCAGGTCATGATCCCAGAGTCATGAGATCAAGACCCACATCAGGCTCCCTGCTGAGCAGGAAGTCTGCTTCTCTCTCTCCCTCTGCCCCTCCCCCTGCTCATGCGTGCTCGCTCTGATCAACAAGTAAAATCTTTAAAAAATAAAAAAAGCACATTCTGAATAGGCAGCACCAAGTACTTCTGCAGATGAGGTCAACTTAGGAAGACTCAAAGTGGGAAGACTAAGATTTCTGCACTAGCGGACTTAAAACTGGCCTAAGCTCACTCTCCCATCCTCTCTGTATTCCATCTCTTCCTTTCAAGTATCTGAAGTGCCTAAAGTCTGTCACCCATTTCTATTTGTATTTCAGACTTCCACTGAGGTGAACTACCCAAGACCCTCTGAGGATCAACTCACTATCAAGCCAGTCATGAGGGTTATGTCAGTGGAAAAGTCAGGAAGCAATTCCAAAAGTGACTCCTTTTTTTTTCTTTTTTTTAAGATTTTATATATTTGAGAGAGAGTGAGTACAAGTGCGGGGGGGAGGGGGCAGAAGGAGAAGCAGGCTCCCCACCGAGCAAGGAGCCTGACGTGGGGCTCAATCCCAGAACCCCGGGATCACGACCTTAGCCGAAAGCAGATGCTTAACCAACTGAGCCACGCTGGCATCCCAAAAGTGATTCCTTCTTTAAGGGATGATACTCTTGTCCAAAGTTCCCAAATTCCAATGCACAGCTGATAGCTTCCCTTTATAAGTTATCACATCACAGACCCTTGGCAATAAAACTTAAGTCACTGGGACCAGAAACCTTCCTCTTGAAAATGGTCCAGCACCTGAAACATTTATCTTGGCACAGGCCATGTTTGGTAGGAGTAGAACACTGTAGATGAGGCAGCTTTCAGGTCAGTAGTGAACAACTCTTAAGATTTACAAATCAAGGGTGCTGTTGTTCTTTCAATCACTTGTGTCTGTTACTTGTATTTAGATACTTAATGGCAAAGTCTGTGTCTTCCTTAACACCTACCTCAGACAGCTTTAAAAGAGTATTATGCACACTGTGATGTTCAAGGTACCTGACAAAACAAGTTTACCACAACCACATAGTCATATAGTTGTTATATAGTTACGTTATAGAATTTTATTTTTTAAGATTTATTTTTAGAGAGAGAGAACCCATGGGGGGGGCAGAGCAGAGGGGGAGAGAGAGAATCCTGAACAGACACCCCAGTGAGTGCGGAGCCCAACACAGGCCTCGATCCCACAACCCTGAGATCATGACCTGAGGTGAAATCAAGAGTCGAACACTTAACCAACTGAGCAGCCCAGGGGCCCCTACCTTGTAGAATTTTAATTCAATGCCATGACAACCAATTTCTTATGCATAATAAGGAAAGCTTCAACATCACTTCTAAATTAAAATTAATGCTTACTCTTTTCTTTCTTCTCAGTGTTTGTAAGGTCCTCTGTCTTCATGGAGTAATTTCTTACACTGATGCCAGTAAGTGTGCTTAGAAAAAGAAGTTCTGATTCTAAATGTCCAAGATGACTTCTCAGATCTTTTGAAGAGGCCCCTCCTTCAGAATCTGATTGATACATTTCTCGAAGTGATTTTCTAAAAAGCAAATATAACAAATAATTACTCCAATGAAGAAACCACTAACAAGTGTTTTATCTAATAACTACAAATTTCTTAAACCATTTCCATTTTGTCTTTCTTACTTTCTTCCCATGAAAACTGCCTGATTGTTCTCAAAACCAGAGTGGCTACTAACATTGTAATTTTTAATCTCAAATGAACACAAAGCTAACTAAATTATACTATTATATTTCTACCTATTACAAACAATTGTACAATAAATTACAACAAGAGTATGATGCAACACTAAAGTATCTTTTGGAGAGGGGGGTGGAGGGATGCGTTAGCCTGGTGACGGGTATTAAAGAGGGCACATACTGAATGGAGCACTGGGTGTTATAGGCAAACAATGAATCATGGAACACTACATCAATAAATAAGTTAACTAATTAAAAAATAAAATGTCTTTTTAAGGTGGAATCTTTAAAATATTCCAAACTAAATGTCTGATATCCCAAGTCATTTCAAGTTATTTTTTTAAGTAGGCTCCATGCCCAGTGTGGAGCTCAACATGGGGCTTGAACTCAAGACCCTGAGATCAAGACCTGAACCAAAATCAAAAGTCAGATGCTCAACCGACTGAGCCACCCAGACAATCCTTAACTCTAACCTCTAAAACAAGTAAAGTTATCACAGAGCATTTAATAGTAAGAGTCGCAGGAAATCTAATACAGGGAGTAAAATTCCAAAGGATTAAGAAATAGCATAATCTCCTTTAAAAACACTATAATCAGACATTCTTGAGAACACAAACTCAATTTCCTTGAAAAAGAGTAAACTTTCAGCGAATGAATACATTGCATGTTAGTGAACTTTTTTTTGGTCATCCTTTATTTCCCTCATGCTCTGCTCCATTTTACGCTGCTGGCTTCTGCCATCTTAATACCTGCCTTCCTTGGATTCCAGGGCATGATTATCATGATTCTCATCTTACATCTTGGGTCCTTCACTGTTCCTGCTTCTTGCAATCATCTACGGAAGAAACCCTAACACTCTTGTTCCTGCTGACCTAAATATGCATTCTCTCATTCTAGAGGAAAACTCAGTCATCAATCTCAACTCCTCTATGTCAGTAACTCCTAAATCATACCTCTAATCATGTATCTCTGCTTCCTGCACAGATTTAGCTTGCTAACCCAACAAATGGTTTTTAATCCAAATTGCTTTTCTACCATATTTCCCTACTTCTGTTAGTGATAAAATCTGTCCCTTGATAGCTCAGGCTCCTATCATTGGAGTCACCCTTGGCTCTGTTAATCCCTTCACATCTGGATTTGCTGCCATACTTTCTGCCTGTCAGAGCTATCCCTCCCTTTCTATTCTTAATTCTACTACATTTGCCTATGCTCTTATGATGAGGTCTACAGGAAATAACCTAGCTCTGTATTGTTTACACTGGAGATCTAATACTTGTGTAAAGTCTGTACAAAATTTTTTGAATTCTGTTTTAATGTTGGGGTGCCTGGGTGGCTCAGTTGAGTAAGCATCTGCCTTCGGCTCAGGTCATGATCCCAGGGTCCTGGGACGGAGCCCCACATCAGGCTCCCTGCTTGGTGGGGAGCCTGCTTCTCCCTCTCCCTCTGCTGCTCCTCTTGCTTGTGCTTGCTCTCTCTGTCAAATAAATAAACAAAATCTTTTAAAAAATTTTTTGTTTTAATGTTAATTGAAAATATTTAAGTATATTCTATATCATCTGAGAGACTACCACATGCTATTTGTATTTGCTCCCATTAAGTGATTTTTTTAAATTACTTTAAGAGACGTCTGGGTGGCTCAGTTAAGCATCTGACTCTTGATTTCGGCTCAGGTCGTGATCTCAGGGTCGATCTCAGCTGAGATCGAGCTGTGCATCAGGCTCTGTGCTGAGCAAGGAGTCTGCTTGGGATTCTCTCTCTCCCTCTCTCCCCAACCCCCACTTGCACATGCACTGTCTCTCTGAATAAACCTTTTTTTAAAAAAAAATTACTTCAAGCTAAGAACACTAATGAAAGCAAGAAACAATCTTCATATATAAATGATAAATTCAGGACAAGCAAATACCAAGTATCACAGAAAACTATGAATGAAAACTCTAAGGCGTTTCCATCAGAGCAAACTGATAAAAGAACTAAAGCATCACATTGAAAGATAGATAATGCAGAATCCAAAAAAGAACCTGCAGCTGAGAAAGGAGAGAATGGGGAGTTATTGTTTAATGGGTACAGAGAGTTTCACTTTGGGATAATGACAAAGTTCTAGAGATGGACAGTGGTGACAGATGCATGACAATATGACAGTACTTAATACAACTGAACTGCATACTTAAAAAAGGCTAAAACAATAAATTTTATGTATATTTTATCATACACCAAAAAGAGACAAACTGTATATTTTTATATTAGTGATTTACTTTGAGCAAAATATTAGTCCATTTCAATTAATGACATGAGTTTCAATGATCTGGAGTTATACATTTTATTGGCTTTGTAGTTTTGTTTATTGCTTGTTAATTCATCTTGGCATAATTTTTCTTGGTCAAAATTAAGAGTTTCACAAGAACGTTTTTTAAGACAAATTTACAAAAGACCTGATTTTATTTATTTTTAAGATTTTATTTATTTATTTGACAGAGAGATACACAGTGAGAGAGGGAACACAAGCAGGGGGAGCGGGAGAGGGAGAAGCAGGCTTCCCGCCGAGCAGGGAGCCCGATGTGGGGCTCGATCCCAGGACGCTGAGATCATGACCTGAGCCGAAGGCAGGTGCTCAATGACTGAGCCACCCAGGCACCCCTAAAAAGACCTGATTTTAAGAGTCAATGATTTAGGATTCTGGGAAGCTGGTAGAGTAGGAAGCACCAGGAATCTGCTTCCCCACCTAAACAATAATTGCACTGGCAAATCTATCTGATTTGTAAACCTGTGGAGTCTGCTGAAGGCTTACAACTTCCAGGGTTATATATGTATTAGCTATATTAGACAACTAACTTTAAGACAACAGTCCTCAAGTTGCTCAAAGAAATAGAAGAAATATGAAGAAATAGAAGATATGAAGGAAATTAAGAAAATGATGTGTGAACCAAATGGAAACTTCAATAAAGAGATAAAAAATCCTAAAAAGAGGGGCGCCTGGGTGGCTCAGTTGTTAAGCGTCTGCCTTCGGCTCAGGTCATGATCCCAGGGTCCTGGGATTGAGCCCCGCATCGGGCTCCCTGCTCCGTGGGAAGCCTGCTTCTGCCTCCCCCACTCCCCCTGCTTGTGTTCCCTCTCTTGCTGTGTCTCTTTCTGTCAAATAAATAAAATCTTAAAAAAAAAAAAAAAATCCTAAAAAGAAACCAAAAAGGAATTCTGTAGCCAAAAGGCACAATAATTTCTCATTTCAGAAAAATTCACTAGAGGGACCCAAAGGCAGATGTGAACAGGCAGAGGAATCAGTGATTCTGATGACAAGACAACAGACATTATTGAGGCTGAGGTCTAGAAAGGAAAAAGACTGAAGAGGAACAAAACATAAAGGATCTGAGGGACACCATCAAAAGGACCAAGATACACATCATGGGAGTCCCAGAAGACAGAAAGAGGTAGACTGAACATCTGAAGAAATAATGAGTGAAAAATTTTATGAATGACATTAATATGAAAATACAAGACATTCAACAAACTCCGGAATGAACTCAAAGAGACTCACACCAAGATGTAATCAAATTTTCAAAAGCCAATCATAAAGATGAACCTGAAAGCATCAAGAGAAAAGCAAACCATCACATACAAGGGTTCCTCAATAAGATACGAGATTTCCCATCAGAAATTTTGGGCACCAGAACACAGTGGGCCTATATAGTCAAAGTGCTAAACAAAACAAAAACCAAAAACCCCACACAGGGGCGCCTGGGTGGCTCAGTTGGTTAAGCAACTGCCTTCGGCTCAGGTCACGATCCCGAGGTCCTGGGATCGAGCCCCGCATCGGGCTCCCTGCTCCGCGGGAAGCCTGCTTCTCCCTCTCCCACTCCCCCTGCCTGTGTTCCCTCTCTCGCTGTGTCTCTCTCTGTCAAGTAAATAAAATCTTAAAAAAATTAATAATAAATCCTATATGATTTAAGAGATTAAAAAAATAAAATAAAATGGTAAAGATTTTATTTATTTATTTGACAGAGAGCGAGAGAGGGAACACAAGCAGGGGGAGAGGGAGAAGCAGGCTTCCCGCAGAGCAGGGAGCCCGATGCGGGGCTCGATCCCAGGACCCCAGGATCATGACCTGAGCCGAAGGCAGACGCTTAACGACTGAGTCACCCAGGCGCCCTAAGAGATTACCATTTGAAAAAATTATATCTAGGGGTGCTGGGTAGCTCAGTTGGTTAAGTGTCTGATTCTTGGTCTCAGCTCAGGTCTTGATCCCAAGGTTGTGGGTTCAAGCTCCGTGTTGGGCTCCACACTGGGCATGAAGCCTACTTAAAAAAAAAAAAAACCAAACAAAAAAAAACTATATATATATACACACACACACAAAGCTACTATTATTTTTACTTTTATTTTTAACTCCAAATCTTGTTTCCTACAAAATTTAAGAAAGAAATATATTTAAAAAATTATGTAAGTTTTTTGTTTGGGGGCACAAAATGTATTAAGATGTAATTTTGTAACAACAAAAACCATAAAGGGTGAGGACAAAGCTATATAGGGACAGAATTTTTTTATGTTACTGAAATGTGACTGTTATAAATTCAAATTAGAGTACTATAACTTTAGGATGTTAAGTGTAATTCCTCTGGTAACCATGAAGAAAACAGCTACAGAGTGTTTACAAAAGGAAATGAGGAAGGAATTTAAACATTTCACTCCAAAAAATCAACTACCCAAAAGAAGACATAAATGCAGGAAATGAAAGACAAAAAAGTTTAAGGGCATATAAGAAAAAAATGAGAGGTAAGTCTCTCCTTATTAGTCCTTAAGTATAAATAGATTATGTTCTCCAAACAAAAGAAATTGGTAGAATGGATA